GTCCACTGTGCAAAACACAGATACATAAACCAGCTAATTAGTATAAAGTAACAGACTAATGAAATAGTCAGATGTGCTATACCACACAGCAGCCCATATTACATGTCAGATAATGTCATTAACTTCTCCAACAGCACAAACATAGTAAAGAGGTCCAATTCAGTGACTTGAATTAGTGAATGTGTGGCTTACCAGACACCAGCTAGCTACAGCTACTAATGCTGCCACACCTGCCAGTTAAAGCAGTCGTAACCTTAACTTAAAGCCTCGAACAAATCCAAACTGGTGCACTTTACTGTGCTGCTCATTTCAGCTGAACTGTCACAAGGGAACTGACCGACCTTTACATCAATTGTTCAAAAGACCAAATACGACGACTTCAAGTGGTCACTAGAGGAATTTTACGGCACTTTTTCAATGGCTTCACATTTCAGCCCTGGAGGTTGGAGCTTGGCCTTGCCATCAGCTGTTAACTGCCCCATACTGACCTCTGAAGTATTGTCACATCTGGTTCAAATGACAGAGGTGACCAAAACTAGTCTGCAAACCAGTAGGTAAAGAAATGGTAGCTATGTCCGTTTTTATATAAGCTACCAGAGGTGTCAAACTCAATGTCACTACAGGTTACACTGGCAATTTTCTCTGGCATATCAAGACTCAGGCATGCTTTTACAAATTCCAAATTTGTCTTTTCAATCATTTTTTCAATATTCAATATATTTTTCACAAATTCCTTTCCAAGATTCCAATAAAACTGAAAAATAACACCAAGTAACTGCAGTTTTCCGCATCTTAAAATGTTTGGCAATCAGGAATAAAAATTTGCAAAGTGCCTGATGTGGTCCATGAGCATATTAACAATACTAATACTATCAAAATCACTGCCTTGCACTTGGATGGAGGCAGGAATAAGAGCAAGATAACTTAAACACGAGGCAATTCTTTACTCTACTACAGGCAGAGAGGAAATGATTCTCACAGGGTAACCTGAGCCTCTGCACATTATGGCAAATCGTTCATGCTTTATTATAAAATGTGAGTGTTTATGTAATGTAAACTGAATTATGCTGTCATAAAATGCAAACAGGGAGTGAGATGAAACCTCCGAAAGGCTCCTTGTTTATTTATGATCGCTGAGCAGCCCTTCTGGAGGACATATTGTCAGCTGAAATCCCACTCAGCTCCTTGTGGCTCAGACATAAGTGGCTCGATGATCAATACTCGCACTCAATTCTGAAATTCCTTATTTATAAAAACAGAGAAGCACAAAGGTGCCAGGTTACCTCCACTCCGCTGGTTTCCACGGTAACAAACGGGCAGCTTCTTTAAACCTTCAGTTCTTGGAAATCCTCCAAAAGCAGCCCGAGTTTACTCTCCTCAGCAGACGACGGTTGCTGAGTCATTACTATGTGACCTTACCGCCACCTCCAGCTACTGTTTGAACTTGAACGTCGGAGTATTTCACACAATCCAGAGCCACCGATCTTCTGCGAGCGACAACTAGAGCTACTTTCTGCGATAAAACAACAATATCGACTATCAGCGTACTGCAATGAGCACAACGCCACCGCCTCCGAGGAACGCTGCTCCACCTGCACAATGAGTAATGAAGACGTATCTGCCTCTCCAGCAGCCCCTGCACCCACAGACAGCGCTGCACCTGCGAGGACGCACTCTGCAGCCTTCCTTTGCAAGCTGGCATGTCTCGGTGTGAGCGAAAGCATTAAATCCGCAGCATTAAGCAGCCATTTACTTTGCTAAAGCACATGCATGTCTTTGCTGCACGGCAAGTATCCACGCAGCATCACGCTGATGCCACGGTGCGTAGTTGCCCACTCAAAACTCAACGCTGTAACGCTTGCATGGATCATTTCGCGGACTTACCTGCGTTTTCACAGAGCAGTCTGCACAGAGGAGAAGGAGCTAGAAGCGGGAGATGAGGCGACTATAGGACGCAGCAGCGGGGCTGGTTCACTCTGTAACCTTTACTGGAGACACGCGAGGCAGCCTGCTGGATCGGCCAAAGGATGCTCGGGCTGACCACGTGACTGGGGAGGACAACCTGCCTATCTCAAGTTACCGATGGACACAAAATTTAGAGCTTAATCTCAGAAGAGTCAGAGCAGCAGGCAAAAGCAACAAAAAACACACAAAAAACCTCTTCAGTAAACAATTCCTACGAGACAGATGACCAGCTGTTTAAATATATATATATAAGTGGAAGTATAACAATATGCTTCAACACACGTGGATTAATCATGCTGGCATAACTACACCAGGAATAGCATTATCAGAAAAACTGGAGGAATAGTTCATAGTTTTACACTATGCCAAGTCACCCTCGAACCTTATGTGTGGCACCAGAACAGTTTGTGTTTTTCAGGTCTGCACTCATGAACTGCCGGTTTTGCATCATTATTATTATTATTATTATTACCAAAAATAAAAAATAAAATCAATACAGAAAAGAAAGAAAAAGGGCGAAAGAATCATAACTTATGAAACCAAACCATATCAAGAAAAATAAGGTGGGATTTCAGATAGACTGGACACTACATGTATATTTACATGTATATATTATGTATAATTCAGTTTCTCTATGCATGTATAAACATAACACGTGTGTCATCCTTTTACGTTTATAAAACTAGAATTTGTTTTAAGTGACTTTACTAAGGTGTTTATAATTTCACGCACATCCTTCATCATCCTCATTTTGTGCATCCGTTTTCTACAAATTGTACTTGTGGAGTTTTTTTAAATTATTTTTCTAATGAATTTTCTTTTCTTTTCTACACTTTTGTTATTTTTCATTAATGGTGTTATTTAAAAAAAAAATCCTGATCTTGACTCTACTCTGCAGGTCTTAAGAATTCCAAAAAGTTGACTCTATTCATCTGGACGTAGTGTTTTCAGTTCATCGTTTCGTCACTCATCCAAGTGACTTCTTCAGTCTCAGCTGACTGCAGGTTTCCCCAACCTTATAAACAGTGCATTTGCACAATAACTGAAACCAGCCCACCAAATGAACAATGGGCTGTAAGGTCAGTCCCTTGATCATTAATATACAAATTGTCAAGACCATTGATCAAAGGCCATGAGTACCATTCACAGAGAGTTGGGGAACAGTTGCAATCACAGCATTGTGAGATGTGGTCTTAAGAACTTCTAGTCTTGATTGTGGACTCTGGATCTACTAGCCCTAAACTAAAACCACCATTACTGCCTCTACAAGTATGGCATGGCCTACTTAATGAACATAACCTTAAATTCTGTAGCTGCTTTTACATATAACCTTAGACATAAGAATAGCCAAGTACATACATGCCTAACAGAAAAAGTCCCAGCCTTTTGATCTATGACAGATGATTTGTGTTAAATTATTAACAATGACTAATGTAGAATATGAAATATTAATAGAACAAAATAGAAATAGTAGAATAAAAGACCACAGTCAGATTAAGTGTCAAAGAGCACATCACTTCATCATTAACAAGATTACAGCTTTGTCTCTAAGTATTGA